CGCTCCGACGCCAGCCGCCGACGCCAGCCGCGTCAGCGTGGTCTCAGCGCTCGCCCCGCCCCGCCGCCTGGGGCCTGCGCACTGGAGCTTCATTGTGTGACGCTTGCGCAGCTGCTGTCCTTCCCTCTCGTGGAATTCTACTTTATCAATTCCAGTACAGAGACGGAAAAGAGCCCCACTCGTTCAGGGGACAACATTCTTCACCCCGTTCCTCCCCAAATTGTGTATAAACTGTGGCTTTCCTACGAACTGCTCAGGCAGAAGGCGCTGCAGAAAGGGGAGAGAGCAAACCTGCTTCCCAATGCTACGTTCCACTTCCCCGTCGCCTAGTAACTGTTTCCACGGCAACCGCGCGGTCAACAACGCTAGTCAATCCCGAGAGGAATAGAGAGTATTTTCTTTTCTTCCCGAGAGAGGACTGCTGCAAGGGGTCAGAGGAGGATTATGTGAAAGAGAGGAACTTAAGTTCCTTGAGAAGGCAAAGAAGTAAGACAAGGGAAGCAGTAAAGAGAGAGAGGGATAGAGTGAAAGCTGAGGACAGTAGTTGGAAAGGACTCGTTCGCTGGCCATGGATTCAACGTGCTCTTCTGAGAGCATTTATAACCTCATTCCCAGTGCCTTGAAGGAGCCTCCCCAGCCTCCTAGGTATGTGGGTAACTATCACTTGGAACAAGAGAGGGGAATAATTAATGCCATTTCAGGGTTAAGTAAGCACACATATCCTAGAGCCTTTAAAATTTTTGTCTCAATGAACTCGCCTTGAACGACAACTTGGTGGAGAAGAGGTGGACACATCTAGACATTTGGCATCTTACAATTTATAGGCAAGACGGCCCAGTGCCATGCTACTTTTAGCCTCTTATTAATACAGTAGGTAATTATTTTGTAAGTTATCTAATTGCGTGTCCATGATGTGGAATACAACATAACGTGAAATTTCAGGTTATTAAATGAAACACCCCCCCACCCCCCTACCCCACCCTCATCCCCACTCCCCCACTCACCATCTTAGGATACTTGGTGTTTGGTTTCCAGAGTTCAATATTGTGTCTGTAACTGCACTACTGCTCTCTCTCTCTGAAAGGATGGTACTTATTTATTTTTCCCTCCAAGATTATTATCAAATATAAATTCCCACTTGTTTCTGAGCTTTAGTGTTTGATTGGTGAAACAAAATACATGAACTGGTTTTTAAAGTTGTTTTCAGAACTAATGTTTGAGTGAAAGAAACAATAAGATATTTAGGTAACCTAAATAAGTAATTCATTTAAAATTCTTATAGTAGTGGGGGCAGGTGACTGGTGGTTAAGGCACTGGACTCTCACCTGGCCAACTGCAGTTTGAGTCCCAAACCCAGTGGCTTGCTTTCTCTCACACTCTCACTCTCGCTCTGTCCCTCTCTGGTCAAATTAAAATAAATAAAGTTAAATAAAATAATTATTTTTAAAAATTTATTATAGTGGTGTAAAAATGATATTTGGGAGCCAGTCATGTCCCCTAAATCTCAAAAAGTAACCACAGAGTAAACACTCCAGTTACCGTCCTGTGTGAGGACATTGTGGAACTTTTTTAAGTCCATGGGGGTTAAAAAAGGAAGTAGTGGAGAAAATCTCGTTCCTCCTAAGACCTGAAATGTTTCCCATTTTTTTTTTTTCCAGTTTTTTGCCATAGGGTGAAAATACTCACTGGAGAGGAAAGAGACAGAGAGGGAAAGTGAAAGATCATCTCCTAGATGTGATGGCCATGCTGCAATCCCTTCTCCATTCTCCTCTCAGGATTTTGGGTGCACACCCAAGTGTCTGGCATGATTTTTTTTTTTGAGAGGTTTTTGCTATAGGGCATGTGCGCTCTCCAGAAAGACAGAGAGACAGAGAGACAGAAAGTGAGAAATCACCTCACAGGGGGTTGACCATGCTGCAATCCTTTCTCCTCCTCTCGGGATCTTGGGCACACATGCACAAGCACCCAGTATAAGTTTAAGTCACCAGGTCCAGGACTCGAACCACAGTTGACTACATGGGAGTCCAGCAATGTAGCCATTACACCAACTGCTGGTCTCACCTGGCATGATTTTCAAGGCACCAGATCCGGGACTCAAACTGCAGTCAGCTATGTGAGAATCCAGCCTCCCTTACCTCTGCATCACCTATTGGCTCCTATTTCTCATCTTTTACGTTTATCCTTTTTAGAACCACATTAAAAGAGCAGTGGGCTAACTAACTTGCTCTACAACTAATCATTTTGGGGGTCTTGAATAAAATTTTATTTGTTTACTGATCTGTAAAACAAATTAAATGGACTAGATAATCTCTAGTCCTTTCAGCTCTAATGGTCAGGTTTTTTTTAAAAAAAAGAATTATTTATTTAATTTTGTTTGTTGTTATTATTTTTAAATTTTGACCAGAGAGATGCAGAAAGTGAAAGAAAAAGGGAAAATGAGAAAGCAAGTCACTAGATCCAGGACTCAAACCTTAACTGACCTTGTGAGAGTCCAGTGCCTTAACCACCACACCACCTGCCAGCCTATGATCAGTTGTTTTTACTAGTAACTATTTGGGGTGCATAATAACAGTGGACCCCTATTTCCATTTTAACCGTGAGTACCTGGATTTAAACAGAGCAGTAGCTTCCACAAATCTAGTAGAGATTGAAAGAGAAATGCCAGTTGTGATACAGTTGCCAAATCCCTGCATACTATACAGATAACCCTCCTCCTCCCCGTGACACACTGGTAGATCGTATTTTCCATCAAATACTGAATTTGAATGTTAAGATATTGTATTAGGTAGATAGACTGTTCATTGGCAAATTAAAAACCTTAATTGCTTCTAGGCAATTTTTCTTTAAAATTTGTAGGAACACTCTATTTGGCAAGCTTTAACCAATCTTCTATTAATGATAGCGTCACCCTAGCATATTATCAGTTCTTGGGGATCTTAATCCTTGGTTTTACTATGAAGAAATAAGTATAAAAAAGGACTTAGAGTAGGAGGGAGTAGAAGACAACCAAATGCAATGGCAAGAAAACCTTTTCTATTAAGGTGAAGTCGGTTTACCCTATCAGCAATGATGGTCAAGAGGTCCTGGCTAGATGGCATGCAGGAAACCTCTAATAGATAGAAACGGCACAATAGCATGAACTTGTCCCAACTCAATCTTCTCACTATTGTGAGAATTGATCATAAGAAAGAAACAAAGTTACAAGTTCTGTTAACATTACCTGGTTATAAACCCAGCTCCAAGAAATTTCACTGCAGCTTCGCAGCACTGGCAAGATTCTGACAGCATTGCCACCTCCCTACCTCGGGTTTGTAGTCTTCCTGGGGAACTACAATACAAACATTAAAATGTTGATTGGCCACAAAATAATGTGTTATTGAAAACCGTCATGAGGTACGCAGATACCATTAGGTCTTTGGAAAAGTCATGATGCATTTTTTCATAGAAAAACATAGAAAAAATGTGTCGTGACTTTTCCGATACCTCCATCAATGAAAACTTAGAAGATGGAACTTAAATTATGAAAGTGATGGAGTCAGTGGGAAGGCGTTTTTAAATTTTTCTTTTTAAATTTTGGGTTACTTGCGGCCAGCAGATGGCATAGCAGTTATGTCTTTGGACTCTCATGTGGCCAGCCGCGGTGCAAGTCCTGGACCTCGTGGCTCGAAACTCATTCTGGACGCATGTGTTCATGCCCAAGATCTGGGGAAGGGAAAGGAGAAAAAAGGACTGGGGCGTGGCCATCCCTCCCCGGGGGGCAAGGGGGTTATTTCTCACTTTCCCTCCCACTGCCTCTGCTCTCTCTGTCTCTCCAGTGAGCACACACTTGCTAAGGCAAAAAACTTCTTAAAAAATGAAAATCGGGGTTACTCATGCACGAAGTAGTTTCTGAGATCTACATCAAATCTCTATCACCCTTATATTGATGGCTGTGATTATTATCTTCAGTTATTCCCTCTTTCCTTTCTGTTTAAGGCAATATTCCAGATATGGTCCAAATGGTCCATGAAATTATCTCCTTCCTTACTACTAGGCACAGTACTTTTAATCCATACCATCCAAATTTCCTTGAGCATTTTGACAGTCACATCCTACTGTTAGCTCACATTAAAATTCCTACATTGATTATAACTAAGGTCGATCTCTCCATTAATTGGTCTCTAGTTATGTAACTGGTTCTCTTAAATCTCAATTCATCATTAATCTATATAGTTTTGAATTACTAGTCTTTCAAACACCCTGTTAGCCACTCTTCCCAGCTTTGTTATTTGCAAATCTAGGAAGTATGTCTTTCGTATCTCCACCTCCCACTGAACAGGGCAAGTACTTGGAACTGTAGTAGTCTACTAGGCTCCCTTCCACCAGGCAGACTTTTATCAAGTGTTCAATCACCCAGGTGGACCCAGTGAGCATTTCTCTACCTGATCAGCCAGGATTTACTGAAAGGCATTGCTGACCTCAAGCTGCAAATGATGATGTCTAAAATAGTTCCCTGACCTATGAATAACCTTACTTTAAAAAAAAAAAAAAAAGGTTTGTGATGACTCGAAACTCCAAATGAACTCATGCAGTCGTTGCTTCTGTGTATTGCTTCTCTACAAATGTACTAAATTCTGTTTTTCTCATTTTGATTACCTGAAACATGTCATCAGAATGTCTATTTTGGACCTTCCTATTCTTGGACCAATTTTCATTTTATTCTGTCTCTACTGTTATACCTATGTATTCTGAAGTCTTTAGAATATCTCTTTGTTTAAAGTCTCATTATGTATCTGTCTTTGCCAAGAAATATTTTTTGACTGTTCGAAACTGTTAGATAATGGTCATTCTTCTCCTGAGGTTCTTGTCTTACCTACTTTGCTGGCTAATTACAGTCAAGAATTCAATTGAGGAAAGCTGTAACCCTATTTCTTGTTCAAAGTAACTCAAAAATATTTCAGAGTTCTTGTGTTTTGGCATCATGACATTTTATGCTAAAATTCGTATTGCTTCAATACATAATCTCAGACAGTTTTGTGATTAGTATTAGAAGCTATTACTCATATTTTTCATCTGGCTACGTTGTGTGTGTGTGTGTGTGTGTGTGTGTGTGTGTGTGTGTGTTTTAAGAGAGAGTTTTGCTATAGAGTGCATGTGCTTGCCAGAGAGACAGAGACAGAAAGCAAGAAATTGCCCCCCAGGGGGTACACAGCAGTCCCTTTCCTCCATTCTGCTCTTGGGATCTTGTGCACACAGATATACATGTCTGGCGTGAGCTTTAAGTCACCAGGTCTGGGGATCGAACTACAGTTGACTACGTTAACCATTATGTCTTCTTCTGGTTCCCTGGTTAGGGATTCTTTACAGACTTCCACAATAACACTTTGTCTCTTGTATTACTGTTATCCAACTGTTCTTCTAATGCTTATATATTTTATATACAAATGCATATGTATGTGTGTCTCTGTTTGTGTGGACATACACATATAGACCCACATACATATGTATTTGTATATAAATATGTATATACATACTTTGGTTTTGCATCTGATATGTATATACCAGAGATTAACTGTGATTAATAGGATTACCTGAAGAATGCATGGGAAACTGCATAGTGGGAGGGATCAGTTCGTAAATGCACTTCTCCCCTTCAGACGTATGGA